AAGTGAAATACATGGGGATTAATACGACAGCTAAAAATGGAAATTTGTTTAAAGATAACTATGAAAATGCTGGACGGAAGTTAAAAAAGATTTAGAAATTTGGTCAAATTTGAAGCTTTCCTTGTTGGGTCGAATTGCAGCTATAAAAATGAATGTTCTGCCCAGAATGTTGTTTTTGTTTCAGACATTACAAATTGTGGACAAAATGGACTGTTTCAAGAAGTGGCAGAAAGATATTTCTAAATTTGTCTGGCAGGGCAAGAAGCCGAGAATAAAATTTAAGATTTTAACTGATGCAAAGGAAAGGGGTGGATTTGCCCTGCCAGACTTTAAACTTTATTATGAATCAGCAGCGTTTTGCTGGCTGAAAGATTGGCTGCTACTTGAGAACACAGACATTTTGGATCTAGAAGGTTTTAACAATGTTTTTGGGTGGCACGCATACTTGTGGTACGACAAGGTTAAAGCGCATAAAGCATTTAAAAATCATATTGTTAGGAAAGCATTGTTTAATGTTTGGATAAGATACAAGGATTTACTGGAAAATAAAACCCCAAGGTGGTTGTCACCAATGGAAGCGAAAGCTTTGAAAAGGCTCAATATGGAGGCCAAATGGCCGAAATATTGGGAAATTCTGGAACAGGAAGGAGATAATTTGAAATTGCAGAGTTTTGAGAAATTAAAAAATAAAGTGAGAGATTGGCTTCATTACTACCAGATAATGGAGGCATACAATTTGGATAAGAAAGTTGGCTTCCAGGTGGAAAAATCTAAATTGGAAACAGAACTGTTAGAACCCAAAACTAAGATTTTGTCAAAAATGTATAACTTGCTGTTGAAATGGAAGACTCAGGATGAGACGGTTAAATCTGTCATGATTAAATGGGCACAAGATGTTGGATATAATATTATGTTTGCTGACTGGGAACAGTTGTGGACCACCGGGATGAAATTTACGGCATGCAATGCCTTAAGAGAAAATATTATGAAAATGATATATAGGTGGTACATGACCCCAGTCAAGCTTGCAAAAATTTATCATTTGCCCGATAATAAATGTTGGAAATGTAAAGAAACTGAAGGTACATTTTTTCACCTTTGGTGGACGTGCCCAAAGATTAAGGCTTTCTGGGAAATGATATATAATGAATTGAAAAAGGTATTTAAATATACCTTTCCGAAGAAACCAGAGGCCTTTCTCCTGGGCATTGTCAGCCAATTGGTGTCAAAGAAGGATAGAACTTTCTTTTTGTATGCAACGACAGCAGCAAGAATACTTATTGCAAAGTATTGGAAGATGCAAGATTTGCTCACTTTAGAAGAATGGCAGATGAAGCTGATTGACTATATGGGACTGGCAGAAATGACTGGCAGAATCCGTGACCAGGGTGAAGAGTCGGCAGAAGAAGACTGGAAAAAGTTTAAGGACTATTTACAAAAATACTGTAAAATTAAGGAATGTTGAATGATGTTGGATTGAAATTAAGTGGTTTCTAACTGTAAGGGTATAAAGGAATATGATAAAATTGTTTTCTTTCTATAAGTAAGAATTTAAAGTTATAATAACCTAAGATGTTGAAGAGAAAATAAGGTGTTTTTCTTTTTTAAGCTGTAATGCTTTGAGATAAGGATTTGTTGCATAAATAATTTGAACTGGGTGTACAAGAAGGGGAGGTATGAGGAGGTCAGGGAAATATGTTATGAGAAAATAAGTTGTGAAATTTATGTGTTTTTAATGGTTTTTTTTTAATGTTTGCTTTTTTCTTTTGTTTGTAAAAAATTGGAAACTAATAAATATTTTATTAAAAAAAGAAGAAAACCACAAGGTGGAGTACCACCTATTTGCACAAAGACGAATTCCCATAGTTAAAATGCAGAATAAAAGAATTCAATTAAAGCATTAAAATAGGTGCCCATAATTAAAATGTGCAGCAAAGCAATCTTATTGAAATAACCCAGCAATTAACAGGAAGAAAACCACAGAGCATTGTGTAGCAGATCATATTTCTGCTGTCTCAGAGGAGGACATTTCCCTTTTTCTTTTAGGGTCCAGTGTGCTTTGAAGATGTCGCTATTCGTTTCACGGACGAGGAGTGGGCGTTGCTGGATCCTGACCAGAGAGCTCTTCATAAGGACGTCATGGAGGAGAATCGGGGGATCATGGCCTCTCTTGGTAAGGCTCCCTGTGGGATCGTCCTATCTGCCAGGAAATTCAAGAAATACCTCTATGTGATAAACCTCATATAGTTTCACAGTGCCCATTACAACACCTGGGAACCTAACACCCCCAGAAGAAATAGTAAATTACAGCTTTTTCTGTGAACAATCTTCCTCCAGTTCTGCCACCCTCTACCACAGTTGGGCTGATCTGAACTGCCCAGGCATCTTAAATGTCAGCTTCAGAGTTGTTAGGAAAGATAAGTAGCTTCTGTCAGGTTTTCTGTTATTGTTTTTTTGCTGCTGTCAGTCTTGGGTTGGCCAGAGAGATGACTGGCATTGGAGATGGAGGGGATTCCATGACTGGGCCAAACAAAATCCGTCCCAGAGAGGAGCCAGGCTGATTGAATCTCAGGTAGTACTAGCAGTGATAATAATAGCAATAATAATAATTTTTATGTATATGCTGACCATCTGGCTGGGTTGCTCCAGCCAATCTGGGAAGCTTCCAACACATATACAGTGGTACCTCTGGTTGCAAAAGGGATCCGTTCCGGAGGTCCGGCCAGATCCCGTGGATTTTGCAACCCGAGGATCACTGTTCTGCGCATGCGCATGGATTTGCCGCTTTCATAAGCTGAAGTTTACATAACCAGAGGGTTACGTAACCTGAGGTGCTATGGTATAAACATGAAACAGTAATAATAACAACAATCTAATCTAATGTAAAAAGTACAAAAATATTAAGATGAGTAACTTACTTCAAACAAAGCAACATTCAACCATCGATTAGAATCCAATAATAAATACATTGGGTTATTAAAGATAACAAAGATAATAAGCACACAGCCAACTGCCTTCTCTACAACAAATTTAATGAGCATTATTTCCTAACTGGGGGCTCCATTTGTTCCTGAGGCTCTAATCCCTTTTTCTCTCCATTGCAGATTGTGATGAATTGGAAAGCAAGAATAAAGGAGACCACAACACAATCTGCATAGTAGAGAAGGCGCGTAAAAATTTTCAGTGTGGAAAGAGCTGCAGTCAGAGCTCCCATTCCACTTCCCATAAACGAAATCTCATTGGAAAGAAACCCTATCAGCACATTGCATGTGGAAAGATGTTCAGTACAAGGTCCTCTCTCACTTCCCATCAAAGAATTCATACAGGGGAGAAACCCTATCAGTGTGTGGAATGTGGAAAGAGCTTCAGTAGGAGCGACCATCTCAATACCCATCAAAGAATTCATACAGGGGAGAAACCCTATCAGTGTGTGGAATGTGGAAAGAGCTTCAGTAGAAGCAACCATCTCACTTCCCATCAAAGAATTCATACAGGGGAGAAACCCTATCAGTGCGTGGAATGTGGAAAGAGCTTCAGTAGGAGCGACCATCTCAATACCCATCAAAGAATTCATACAGGGGAGAAACCCTATCAGTGCATGGAATGTGGAAAGAGCTTCAATTACAGCTCCCATCTCACTAGGCATCAGAGAATTCACACAGGGGAGAAAACCTATCAGTGCATGGAATGTGGAAAGAGCTTCACTCATAACTCCTCTCTCACTTCCCATCAAAGAACTCATACAGGGGAGAATCACGGAATTGTAGAATTGTGGAGCTGGAAGTGAACCCTGGTGCAATCTATTCCACCCCATGTGATGCAGGCATAGCAAGTAAAGCATCCATGACAGATGGCCATCCAATTTCACTTGAAAACCTCAAAGGATGGAAATTCCAGCACTCCCAAGGGATCCTATCCACTAACAGCTCTTGCTGTCAAAAAGTTCTTCCGCATGTTTAGTCAGTCTTTTTTTAAAAAAAAAAAAAAACTTGAAGGCATTGGTTTGTGTCCTTCCCTATGTTTGGCGGCTCCCAATTGAGTGTTTAAACAATACAGCATTAAATATTAAAACTATTATTAAACTATTAAAAATAGCTATATGCGCAAAGAAGGGCTTTCTCTCCCCCCCCCCCCCGTCCTGAATCTTCCATCACTCAGCTTCATTGGATGCCTGGGACTTCTCTGGCCACTTTCTCCAGGCCAGGCACAATTTCACAAACTTCCATCATGTTGCCTCTTCCTCATTGCTCTAAACCAGCCTTTCTCCACCTGTGGGTCCTCAGATGTTGTTGGACTACAACTCCCATCACCCCTAGCTAGCAAGGCCAGAGCTCAGGGATGATGGGAGTTTTAGTCCAACAACATCTAGGGACCCACAGGTTGAGAACCGCTGCCTAAACTAAGAAGTCCCAAACCTCCTGCAACCTTTCCAAATATGTCAAAATAAAAAAATTCCTTCCAGTAGCATCTTAAAGACCAACTAAGTTAGTTGGATGAGCCTGTTGACGACTCTTAACGACTGCAATAGGTCTTACAGGAAAAGGCAAGGGGTGAGAAGGTGAGAAATGGCTTGTTGTTTAGTCGTTTAGTCGTGTCCGACTCTTCGTGACCCCATGGACCAGAGCACGCCAGGCACTCCTGTCCTCCACTGCCTCCCGCAGTTTGATCAAACTCATGCTGGTAGCTTCAAGAACACCATCCAACCATCTCATTCTCTGTCGTCCCCTTCTCCTTGTGCCCTCCATCTTTCCCAACATCAGGGTCTTTTCCAGGGAGTCTTCTCTTCTCATGAGGTGGCCAAAGTATTGGAGCCTCAGCTTCATGATCTGTCCTTCCAGTGAGCGCTCAGGGATGATTTCCTTCAGAATGGAGAGGTTTGATCTCCTTGCAGTCCATGGGACTCTCAAGAGTCTCCTCCAGCACCATAATTCAAAAGCATCAATTCTTCGGCGATCAGCCTTCTTTATGGTCCAGCTCTCACTTCCATACATCACTACTGGGAAAACCATGGCTTTTACTATACGGACCTTTGTTGGCAAGGTGATGTCTCTGCTTTTTAAGATGTTGTCTAGGTTTGCCATCGCCTTTCTCCCAAGGAGCAGGCGTCTTTTAATAATGGCAGACCAACACGGCTACCTATCTGTAACTTTCCAAATATCGGAAGTCATTGCCACGTCTCTCGGATCATTTTCTTCACCCCTTTCTGTACCTTTTCCAACTTTGCAACCTCGTTTTCGAGGGGAGGCAACCGGATCTGTACGCCCTGCAGCATTGCAAAGTAATAGCGTCCCCTTTATTTCCCACCCGTTTCCTAATTAATCCTGGCATGGGCTGCGGAGCTCATACCTTTGATCCAGTCACTCTGTTTGGGTAAGAAACAGATGAGAAGTGCACTTACGGCAAGTGCAGAACCCAAAGAAAAACAATATAAACTCTACCAGTTCCTTGGTGCAGATGGCCTACTGAGTTGACCCAGGAAAGTTCTGGGTGGGGCTGGGCTTTTCCTGTTTTTCATAGCTTCTCTGCTTACACAAAGGAGACTGAACAGCTGGCAGACAGTCTTCATGAGTCCAATTCTGGCCTGCGTTAACAGAAGTGCAGTGTCCAAGGGAAGTCATAGTACTGATCTATTCTGTCTTGGTCAAACCCCACCTAGAGTCCTGGGTCCTATTCTGGGCACCCCAGTTGAAGAAGGGTATGGAGAAGCTGGGGGTGCTTAGCCTGGGAAGGAGGAGACTGAGACAGGATCTGAGAGTCATCTTCAAATCTCTCTAGAGCTGCCCCATGGAAGATGGAGCAAGCTTGTTTTCTCCAGTGTGGTGTAGTGGTTCAAGTGTGGTAGACTCCTAATCTGGTGAACCAGGTTCGCTTCCCTGCTCCTCCACCTGCAGCTGCTGGGTGACCTTGGGCCAGTCACACTTCTCTGAAGTCTCTCAGCCCCACTCACCTCACAGTGTTTGTTGTGGGGGAGGAAGGGAAAGGAGAATGTTAGCAGCTTTGAGACTCCTTAGGGTAGTGATAAAGCGGGATGTCAAATCCAAACTCCTCCTCCTCCTCCTTCTTCTTCCTGCTCTGGAGGGTAGGACTCAAACCAGTGGCTTCAAGTTACAAGAAAAGTGATTGCAACTAAACATCAAGAAGAACGTCCTGATAGTAAGAGCTGCTCGACAGTGCAAAGGTGGTGGGCTCTCCTTCCTTGGAGGTTCTGATCCTGAAGTTGGGTGGCCATCTGTCCTGGGTGCTGTAGTTGAGATTCCCGCATTGCAAGGGGTTGGACCAGACAGCCCTCAGGGTCTCTTCCAACGACACAATTCTGTGGTTCTAGGGGGAGAATGTGGGTGCAGTAAAATTACACTACACCCAAAGCCTCTTTGTTTCCACAACATGTCCAAAACAATGGCACAACTTTGCAACTGGCTTGAGGGCAACTTCCCTCTCGTTGAGGTCCATGAGAGGGTCTCCCCTGCACAAAGCTACTTCTTCTCAACACACTCACCCTAGGATGCCAGAGCTCTGGATGTGGTGCAAGTCAGGATCTTTTAGGCTGCCCTTGATTGCCCTGTGGACCATTCTCCAAGTAAACAGGCTGGATTCTTTGGAGTCTCCCAATACACTTAGAAGCTTTGTTAAGGAGAACCCAGAACCCACCATTTTTTGTTGCCTTACGGTTGCCCATTTCATCTGCTTAGCCAATCAAAATATTCACGGCCAACAGGTCCCGCCCCTGTCTCCAGCAACTCTCTCCCATGGGAATGGCTTGGCTCCCCTTCTTCTCTCTGTGAGAATCCAGGGAACGGGAAGGGGAAAGAAACCAAGCTAGAAGATGATCACAGGTTGTTGTTTTTTTTGGGGGGGGGCTTGTTAACAATCCTGTGTGGCACCTTGAAGGCTCTCCGATTCTGACTCCAGTCCTACCTCGGAGCCACTTCCTTTGTGGGATTTGTCAGCCCTCTGAGGTCCCCCAGGGCGCCTGCTCCGCTGAGAGGAGGGTGTCATAGCACAGGTAGCAAATCAGCTGCTGCTCCACCCCTTGAGGGATTCCCCACCTCACTTAATTGGACAAATATTCCAAAAAGGGCCCTCCGAAGATTCTGACATAGTCCACTCTTTCTCCTGTCACCCACAGCCATAGAATATGAATGGAGTGGTCCTCCCAAACTCTGCCTGCCCTCCAACATGTTTCAGAGGGAAATTGGGACCGGCGACTTCTGGGGCCATGCTCCTGAATGAGTCACGTAAATCACGCAAGAGCAAGAACCCCCCAAAATGGGCACCTTTTGGGTCCACAGTTTCACGGGAGCCAAAACAGGACACCTTGGGAGCCAATCAGAAGTCAGGGTGGCTTCTGGAATTGCAGGACGTCCCACTCAAAGCAGGACAGTTGACAGGTATGTGAAGACCGCCAAAGATGGAGAATCCACAACCCATAGTGCAGGCATCCCCAAACTCTGCCCTCCAGATGTTTTGGGACTACAACTCCCATTATCCCTAGTTAACAGTACCAGTGGTCAGGGATGATGGGAATTGTAGTCGCAAAACATCTGGAGGGGCAAGTTTGCCTATGCCTGCCATACTCAATATGGCTGCCTTTCCCACTGGCTGAGATGCTTCTACCCATTTCATCTGCTTAGCCAATCCAAATATTCACGGCCAACAGGTCCCACCTGATACGGAATGGGGGGGGGCATGTCTTCACCTTCTTCTTCGCTACAATATATCTATTTATTTCCATCTGCCAAGCCCTTCCTCCGGGCGATGCCAGGTGACAGACTATGCAAACATGGACCATTGTCTCCTCAGGATGTGCTTATCTGCGCATATCTCCAGCTCTGCATATTCCCCCCTCCCTCCTCCATATGTTAATCCAGTGTAACCCAACCTCTCCTTAATGTATTCATGATGCAATCTGTGTAACCCAACCTTTCCTTAATGTATTCATGATGTAACTGGGATGTATTTTGCACTGTATTCTGGGACATGGAGGGAGTTTCAAAAGTTCATGTCACCCCTTTTTCGCTGTTCAATCTCGCCTTGAACCTGTTGCGCAATAAACTTGGATCTTCTGCAGTTTGCTCCTGCGTCCGGCTGAGCTCATTTTCTTCCGCAGGGACCCACGGACTTAGTCCGATGAGCTGGGTGGCAGAGTAACCCCGCACCCAGATTTTAGCCGTAACACACCCCTGCCTCCAGCAATCTCTTTTGTTACACTCAATGGGTGTTTGGTGGAGGGCAAGGGGAACCATGGGGCAGGGTCCAGGATGCTCAGATTGCTGCCACCAGACCTCCCCTCTGAGGTCCCCCCAGGGCAACTCTCTCCCATGGGAATGGCTTGGCCAGGAGGTGGCTCCTGTTGTCACTTGTCTCCCCTTCTTCTCTCTGTGAGAATCCAGGGAACGGGAAGGGGAAAGAAACCAAGCTAGAAGATGATCACTGGGTTTTTTTTGGGGGGGGGGCTTGTTAACAATCCTGTGTGGCACCTTGAAGGCTCTCCGATTCTGACTCCAGTCCTACCTCGGAGCCACTTCCTTTGTGGGATTTGTCAGCCCCTCTGAGGTCCCCCCAGGGCGCCTGCTCCGCTGAGAGGAGGGTGTCATAGCACAGGTAGCAAATCAGCTGCTGCTCCGTCCCTTGAGGGATTCCCCGCCTCACTTAATTGGCCAAATATTCCAAAAGGGCATCACCCGCCACTATAGAAACCCTCTCACCCCCGGCAGCAGCAATGAGGTGGTACAGCTTTCGGGTGCTAAGAGTGTGTCCCTGCTTTGGGAGGGGGAACACAGCCCCCCCCCCCAGCAAAGTTTGGAGGATGAGCCAAGAGGTATAGCCGGACACTGGAAGGCAAAATGTTGCAGGAATTTATGTATAGGGGTTTTTTTTTGGGGGGGTTGCCCCTGCAACAGATATCATGCACATGCAGCCCACTACCAAAAATCAGCACCATCACATTTGTGACTTTTGTGACTTGTCCTCACAAAACACTTCATCACAGTTTCTTTCTATCTATTCAAAGGGCCTCTGCTGCACGATACCAAATGTAAGAATTCACTGATAAATGTATCTCTGTACTGGCTCACTGGGAAAACTTCAGAAATTCATATAGACATGTGAGCTCAGCTACTCAGCAGCCCCTCTGCCTGAGGGATAAGTAGCTAATAAAAGTTTGGATTCTCTTTTGATTGGGGATTCCATCTTGCTTCGTCTTGTGGCAGGTGGCTGACCCATGGAAGAGGGAGCCAGCTTGTTTTCTCCTGCCCTAGAGGGGAGCACCCAGAATAAGGGACCCAGAGGACCAGAAAGCAGTTTCTGCTGCCTAAAGAGCAGGAAGAACCTTCTGACGTGAAGAGCAGCAGAATCCCTTGGGAGATGGCGGACTCTCCTTCCTTGGAGGTTTTTAAGCAGAGGTTGGATGCTTTGGCTGAGATTCCTGCCTTGCAGGGGGGCTGGAATAGATGACCCTTAGGGCTCCCTCCCATTCTAGGATGAGGTTCCTTGCTTCCTGCAAACCCCTTTTCCCTGCAACCTCTTCCTCCAGTTTCTGGCCAAGGGAGGGAGCGGATCACAGACCAACCAAGAGCGTCCCCTCAAAATGAGCATCTCTGGGATTCTGCAATGCAGGAGAGAAAAGGCAGAGAGGACTGAGCAGGGTGGACTCGGCTTTGCAAGGGTTAAAGGGAACTGAGCTGCATTCCTAGAGGGGACAGGAAGTAAAGGGGGGCCAGGTCCTCCAGAGGAAAAGCCCCTCCCTCCCCTTCCTGCAAGTGGGGGGCGGGGTTGCTTTCCTCTGCTGCAAAGGCTGCCTTGCTCTCTTCCACGGGGATCTGGTGAGTATCTTCCTCCCCCCCCCCCGAGGGTGCAGTGGGGAGAAGGTGGGGGTCCTAGGGATGCTGCAGGGGAGGGTGGCTCATGTGGGGGGAGGGGGGAGCCCCAGGGAGCAGGGGGTCCTGCCAGGGAGGGGCGAGGTCGCAGGAACTGTCTCCTTCCTTTAGATCTTTTGTGGGGAGGAGAGGGGAGGAGGTTACCTTCCCCCTACCAGAAAAAAAAATATTCAGAGCCCCCTGGGAAATCTAGCAGATAGAAATCTAGCTTCTTTAAGGCTATAAGTAGGACTTCTGCTGTGTGTGAAACAGGTCAGCCTCATTGCACAACAGAGGAAACATGTATGAATGGTTGCTCCAAAACCTCTTCCTTTGTTTCTCTCCTTTCTTTCTCCTTATTGGCAGAGGAGGCAAGCCAAGCAGATCAAGCCAAGCTTTATGAGGAGCTGGGTATGTTTAGTTGGAGAAGAGGAGACAGAGAGGAGATGGGAGAGCCATGTCACCTGGGCGCAGGATTCCAACCAATGGCTTCAAGCTACAAGAAAGGAGATTTGGACTCAACACACCTAGTCATTTTTCACGAGGCACCAATGAGGCCATTGTCAATCAGTTCTGACTTCATGCATTGACTGGAAGGAAGGAGCAACCAGGCTGAGTCCCCTCGCATTAATCTCTTCGCTTCCCTCCACATTTCCACAAACTCCCTTCTAGAGGTCTACATCTCCTCCTCCTCCTTCTCCTCCTCCTTTTTTGAAAGATGGCTCAGAGTCTGGGCTGTGGTGCAGTCCTACCCTGGTTCCCAGCAAGACTCATCCATGCTTGCTCAGGGAACCTTTTTCTTCTCCTGATATTGTACAGCTTTTGTAACAGAACTATGTAATTGCTTTGTAGGATTTGCTAGAGCTTCTCATTGTTGTCTGAAGACCAAAGGGTTCCTTCCAATCTCTCAGAGGCTTCCTGAGAGCACAGATGGATGAGCGAGACACAGCTGGCCCTGAAGCAGGAAGAGGCCATGCCATCCAAACTGGGAGCAGTGGGGGATTCTCGGAAAACTCTGTGCAGAAGATCCTGGGTGAGGAGGACACCCTCCGCTCAGAGGTGCAGAGCCAGCAGTTGAGGCAGTTCTGCTTCCAGGAGGCCAAAGGACCCCGAGAGGTTTGCAGCCGACTCTACCACCTTTGCCATCAGTGGCTGAAGCCAGAAAGGCACACGAAAGCTGAGATGCTGGGCCTGGTGATCTTGGAGCAGTTCCTGACTGTCCTTCCCCCAGAGATGGAGAGCTGGGTGAGGGACTGTGGAGCAGAGACCAGTTCCCAGGCGGTGGCCCTGGCCGAAGGTTTCCTCCTGAGTCAGGCAGAGGAGAGAAAGCAGGTGAGAGAGACTTTCCTCTGGATACTCCCAAGGGGCTGCAAACAGGATGGAGAACATCCCATAATGGTCTGCTGATGGCCCATCCTTTTTCTGGGAATGAGATCTAACATCCTTAAAGTTTCTGTCTTTGTCGTTCTCTTTTTAATATTTCTCATCATTCATTTACTGTTTTGAATTTTTGTTGTTCTTTCAGAAAAGAGATCATTTTGCAGAAATGGATCTGGATTCCTGTGAGGCAGATGAAAGAATGAAGCCAACAAGACCTCCATATTTATCTTTTCATGGGGGCAGAAGTGAAACAGCGGCTGTGGCACCAGATCAGGTCAGGGGAAGCTGCCTTGTGGGGACAGAGGCCGAGGGATGGAGCAATGTCATGGACTGGTTGGGCACAGAGAAATGGTGGGAGGAAACAGCCGGGGAAGCAGGAAGGGAAGATGGCTGAGAGACGAAGGAGTGGAAGTGGAGGAAGGATGAGTGGTCAGAGGGGCAAGAGGGAGAAGCCTGGGAAGAGGAGGTGTCAGAGGCTGAAGGGGAAACAGGGCTTAGTGAGCTGGGAGACTCTGTGGCAGAATGCAGTCCAGAATCAGAGGCAGAAGAGGAAGGAGGCGAGTGGGAGGAGGGAGGTCTAGAGTCAGAGGTGAGTCCGGAGAAGGAGGAGCCACCGGGGGCTCCCTCTCCTTCTGCCAGAAGCAACACTCCCTGCTTGTCTCTCAGAGCCAGGAAACGTCTGACAACGGAGGAGCAAAGGCAGGCTGCACTCTTGCGCACTGTTCAGTCGCTTGCCAGAAACCCCAGAGAGGAGGGGACCTGGAAAGCTGTGGGCAGCCAGGGGCCTTCACTCTCGGCAACTGATTTAGTTAAGGAAGACGCTCAGGGAATGAGCTGCTGTTCTCATAAGGCCTGAAACTCAGCCAAGTCTGTGAATATTGTGTTCTTGCTGATAAAGAGTAAACTCCAGCTGTGAAGTGTGGGATTTCCTGCCCGTATAGCTCTGTCATACCAGCCTTCTGAATGTTGCCAGTGTTGGCAAACTAGCCCCCTCGG